GGTCAGTGTCCGCTCTGTAGAAGCCGCTCTGGCACTCGCAGACCCTGGACCCTTCCACAGTAGTCCTGCTGTGAGACGGACAGACGGAACAGCGGGTCAGGCCAGGTTCTGGTTTATACTGGCCCACTGGACAAGCTGGGGGGAGACAGAGAGAGGCAAGGGTTACTGCCCGAACATCTTCAGCCCTGCGGAATATTGACAGGGCCCATCCCCACTTCAGGAGCCGGAAACTGATCCCATTCCAGAACCAAAGCCGGGAGCTCCTCTGCGAATCAGAAAAGAGCCGCCCGTCCTGGGCTATCCAGATTGTGAGGTCACCACAGCCCCTCGGACGGACTGGCATTCGTTCATGGCTGCCAGGGGCCGGACCATCCCGCTGAGCCAGCCCGACCCGAACCACACTCTTGTGGATATCTGCATCAGCTTGACTGAAACCAAAATAAGCCTCATGATGTCCCGGTTTTCTGGCCAGGATCGCTCTTTCTGAGGTGGCTGACCCTGGGAAATCTGCAATACATCCCAGGGCATTAAATAACGTCGAGTATGTTTGTCAGACCCCGACACCCAGTCTAGTGTCCCTCAATTCGTCGATACGTCGTTCCCGCTTCTTCCTGAATCGGGAGTCATTCTGCTACCCATGATACCTTCGCCCAGGCCTGTACAGAGGTAGCGCTCACATGTGGCTGGCTTTTCCCAGCAGCAGCAGCCAAGTAACCGTACCAGACCAGAAGGCAGCTTATCTTTTAGCGAGAACGGTACAGTACTCTCGGGCACAACAACAGGCGTCGCGGCGAAGTTGACGTCCGTGGATTGCAGGACAGAAAGAGCGCGCAAGGGGAGAGATGGGGGCGGAGGAAGAGGGGAGGACGAAACGCTTGCTCTCCAACCGCAGAAACAAAGCAGCTGACCCGGCACCACTCTCGAGATAACGAGAAGCTCCATCTACTGGAGCCAGAAGTGCTCAATCACTCGTGAGACGCAGACACGAACTCCTGCGGTTGGTGCAAACAGCTTTCCACCGGGATCCCAGTGGACTCGTGTTCCATAATGGTTCTGGCGTCCTAACGGAGGCAATACCCTACGCACGCAAGCTTTTACCTATTTAAAGCGTCGGCATATGTCGAAGATACACCCCAAGGCTTCGGGAAGACCCAGGGGACGAGCGAGGCCAAGGGAGAGAGGTGCGAGGATGGCGGCTGTCAGGGAGGGAGGGCGGGATAAGAGGTTTTCGGTGTCCTGCCGTCCCGCACTCCTGCGCCGCTCTCCCGACAAGCCCGCAAAGTGATTCCGAGAGTGCCGCTGCACCTCCCGAGGGTGTGATCCATCATTCATGAGGTCTCATACATTACCGGAGTGTGTTTGACTGCGATTTCCGACACAGAGCGGAGGTTTACAAGGGAAAGACATTATTCAGCAGTCCCCTGCTACGTACACCCTCCCCGTCTCCTGTCTGCCTGTTATCTGCTCAGCACTGGTCTCTTCCACTCTCTCACATCCACATTCAAACTCAGAGAACCCTGACATGACTGATGAAGTACTTTGTTTCCAAAG